GAAAAAAAAAAAAACCGTGAAAAAGAAAAAAACCCCAATTTTTTCCTTTTTTTTTTTGATATTTTGGGGGGCCAAAAAGGGGGTGAAAAAAATAACCCCCCCTTCTTCCCGTTTTCCCCGTCCCCCCCCCCCCCTCCCGTTCCCTTGTTCGGGGGAAACCCCGGTGTGTTCCTTCCCGGTTTTGTAGGGATGGGGGGTAAATGTTTTAAGGATTCGGGCATCCCGGATTTGGGGTCCCCCCCCCCCCCCCCCCTACCGCTACCCTTGGCAACCGGTGCTGTAGCTACGGCATGAGCGTGACGACCCTCGAAGAGGTGTTCCTTCGGGTGGCCAGCGAAGCTACCGACCACAAGAACCTCGGGCATCTAGGCCGCCTCCGACGCGAAAGCAGCCACGCCTCTGACATGGAAAAGGTGTCACCACAGCGTGAATGTGTCCAAGAGTCCTTTCGCATGGTTGTGAGCTGTATCGACCGAATCCGACGATATGCCGTACGCGCAAGTATGTTCGACGCTTCCTGGATGAATGGACGGACAGGATGGCCGTAGGTTGTCGAACTGAGTGCTATATGTACACCTGCTGTTGTACATCCATTCACGTTGTTCCTGTCGCGGTTGTCCTCCTTCGGGGGCGTAGAAGGCTCTGCAGTCGAAGACAACAAGACCGAAAAACCTAAACTTTCTTCCGAAGACCGTCTTAGCGACGTCGAGGTGGTGATTGGTGATTTTCTACAGTACTGCAAATTGTACCCTCAGCATTGCTCAAGGCCCTCTCTCGGCTTTCGGGGTGTTTCTTTCCTTCGCCGGACTGCAGGTGGCGACCCCGAACGAAAGCGTTCAGCGTGGCGTTACCGAGGACCGTTCCAGCGACCGTTCCTGGACATCGGCTTTCCTCTACCAGACTTTGGCTCTGTTGAAGAAGCGCCTGCTTACCTTTAGGCGGGACAAGAAGATGTGGGCGTTCGTGGTGCTCATGCCCGTCGTCTTCATTGGAACTGGCGCCCTTCTAATCCTAGACTTCGATATAAAGGACCAGCCCGCCCTGGCCCTCTCCCCACAGGTTCGATGCCTGATGCGAAAAATGCTGCCAATTCTCCCTCGTGACGAAAAAAACGGACTGCCCCAGCAAGGGTAGGGCGTGTCCGCTGTGCGGAGCGTCAACCTGCTGTGCGGGGGGTTGTGCCAATCGTCGATATAGCTGTGCAACACACATACCATGAACTTGCGCAGCTCACCCCATTTCGCCCTTGACCCTTTTGACGACGTCTCGATACATAGGTCTACAATAACGGGGGTGGGGCGCCCTTTCCTTTCGCGACGGAGTGTTCCGACACCATTGCCACCGATGGTGTCTGTGACCCTGGCGTGCTGATGGAGTCGCTTGACAACCCCGACTCGGCGCAAGAAGTTGACCTGGAGCTATCGCCAGATGCCGAATCGGGCGAAGCTGTCGGCGAGGCAAGTAATCTGCCAAACTGAAGAGGCTGACACTGCATATGCATGCACTGCGTGAAGTTTGTGCGTTGTTGAGGAACGAAAGGCGGGTTCGCGGGCATTTACGTTAGTCTCCACAAGCTCTCAAGCAACTACCACTAGTCAGCTTGGTTGTCGTTTGGGCCGATCGCCGTCCTCCTTCCTTCGCCACCGTTCATCTCCGCCCCCCTTGCCTCTCGCTTCCCTGACAATCTCCCCGTTGCTCGCCACGGGCGGCACCAAACCGTACGTTCTGCGTGACTGCCCAACAGCTCAACACGGCGCTGTCCGTCTTCCCGAACAGCTACGACAACAGGGTCTTCGGCGCCTTGTCCTTCCGCGAGGCGGACACCGCCGCAGCCACGTTCGACTACACGATTCACGTGAGCAGACGAGGAATCATCGCGTCCTCGTTGGTGCATTAGGCTATGAAAACAGTAGATATACTACTGTAGTAGCAGTGCCCCCCAGCTTCCTCATTCGACCGCTGTACCCTATTGAGAGTTGAGAGTTGCAGCACGTCCTATCCAGTACTCATTCGCACCCCGACCGGATTGTTATATCATGGAAAGCACGACGTTTACATACTTACTGCTGTAGTTCTGCACTTGTTGCTGAGCGGTTTAACCGGTTCGAATTGTTGCAACGAACGGCAATTTAGAACGACTCTTCACAGAATCCGTTCATTCTAATCCTCACGACCGCATTGGTTGCCCCCCGCTCTTGCCGTTTGTCGTTGGTTGTGTAACATGCACGCTTTGCCAGTCCAACTACAGCGCCCTCCACAGCGCACCGGTGTATCTGAACCAGATGAACTCCGCCATTCTGAGATTGCTGTCTGGGGACCCGGAACAAAGCATCAAGACCGTCATGCACCCCATGCCAGGTGTGCCAATGCGAACGCATGATGGTGCCTTTGTCTTCTTTGTTTGCTAAAGCCCATTTTGATCTCAACGAAGCATGCGGCAGAGTACACCAGCTGACACTCAATGCTTGACAGAGTACAAGGAAATTTTGTCGTCAAGGTAGAAGTCACTCGGAGCAGGTTGAATGATGGTTTCGCGAGTATCGCGTCTCGGAATCGCAAACCAAACCCGGTGGATGCAATGATATTGACGTGTTGTATGCCGCGACTTTGCTGGAACCCCGTTGCACCCTCACCCCTGGAATGCAGAGACGGCGGATGTAGAGGAAATCCTCGATTTCGTCCAGACGTTTTTCATCATCATCTTCACCATCATGGCCTTCAGCTTTGTGCCAGCAGGCTGGATCATGTTTATCGTCAGGGAGAAGGACACCAAGTGCAAGCACCAACAGGTGTGTGCGATGACCACGCCCTCAAAGCCAACTCTCACGACGACGTACCTACTGTATGCAAGATCAGCTATGTGTGGACCGTGAGCGTAGTATGAGAAAGAGCTGTTGCCAGCCCTACAACAATTATTATCACCGCTATCCCGTTGAAACCTCGATGCTACCACTAGTTCCAGATGTGGCGAAGCGCCTCCTTCTAGACCTCGCAGTATCATTCACGTCCTTCACACAAAAAAAGCGAGACCAGAAAAACAAGCAATACGCAGCCTCGTCCACTCCTTGACCACTCACTACCGTTCAACGTGCACCTGCCGGCCATCGCACCCCATCTGCGCCAGATCGTGTCTGGTGTGGGACTCGAGGCGTACTGGTTTTCGTCCTTCTTGTGGGACTTTGGATCGTTTCTCGTCCCGATGACGTTTGCAATCGTCCTGTTCAAAGGCCTCGGCGTTGATTCTCTCTTCGAGAACGGGGCGGACGCGGCGTTTGTGCTGCTGTTCATCCTGTTCGGCCTGAGCATGGTGAGCGTGCCCGATGGTTGTGTCCTGGCCCGGCCATGTCGCAGTCCTAGGTCTTCCCCCCTTCCGCTTGGTGAAGCAGTAATCTTTGTTTGTGCCATCCTCTCGGACCATGTCAAGTTCTGCTCAATCTGTCGGATGATGCTGTTTTCTATCTTGCGGCTATTGTTCGCACGACTGTTTATAAACGGTCATCAGGGCGATCAACCCTTACCCGAGTCCGTGCCCGAACAATCACACCAGATGTAGCGTTCTCGATTCCATGCCCTTGCGATCCGCCGAGGTTTTCCCCTTTTTTTCGGGTTGTAGAAGACTGCAGTCGTTTTCATTCTCGCGCTCACAGGTCTCACAGGTTTTCGAAAGAACGAAGACTGTTGCTTGCGCTGTTGACAAATGCTGACAGCTTCTGGCGAGCGATATACTACTTAGCCGCCCTGACAAAACCGTGCCCCACACGCCCGACACAGGTTCCCTACACCTACCTCGGAAGCTTCATGTTCTCGTCTCACAGCAAGGCCCAAAACCTTTGGCTGTTCCACAACTTCGTCCTGGGAATCCTAGGTCCGACGGTTGGTGTTGGTAGTGTGCATGTTTGCCTGCAGTTGTTCGGAACAAAGGTTAAGACACGTCGTGCTTATGATGATGCTCTATTGGATTTCGTCGACCGTACGCCAGGTGCCCATGGTTGTGAGCCGTGGTTATTTGTCCTTTCAGGGAGGCGGGGCAATGCTGTTGTCAATTTCTCGGGCCTCTTTTCATCTTTGAAGGTCCCTGGCTTGTTGTTGTGCTCGTGCTGTGGGGTCTAATACGGGTTCAGTGACACATCAAGTTCTTCACCTCTGATGGCAATCAACTGCGGTAGGACCAACTATTTGCCTCATTCAGAGCCGATGATATGGGAGCCTGCCGTGTATTATGTTGTCGCAGGTGATGTTGTCGCTGGTGTCGGCCTTGCTGTTTCATCGCATCCGGTTCGCGACTCATTCTTACCAACTTACCATCACCATGGTGTGCCTCCTGCTTCTCTTACACACTTCACCTGGTGTCCGCTGGTTACCCCCACTACCCCTTCCAGGTCCGGTGGCGTTATTCTCGGTAAGTGACTTTTGGTACGGGCACGGGGGAGGGTGCAGGCGAATGTCGTATTTGTTTGGTAGAGAGTGGCGGGTTTGTGTTGGCCCAACGCGCTGACGTGATACATCGGAGCGCGTAGGCGGATTGCTTGTTCCCGCATCGCTCCTTGCTGTGCTTGAGGCTTGCCCGTTCCGGGGGCCATCTGGTGCGTGGTTGGTATAATTTTGATGTTTGATCCTAATACTACGATTGAGCGAGGCGTCGAACACAATGTTCGCTGTGGCCATCCATGCGGTTGGATCATCGAGACCCTCCAGCTGCTTCCACCTTGTACAAATTTGCTGTGTTATCTCTCTTTCTGACTCGCTTTTTCTCTTAAAACCTTGATTGGCTTCGGAACCACCGTCTCGGGCGCAGATTCCTAACGAGAAGTGGTACCAGGATGCGCTGCTGTTCGTGCTCAACCTCTTCCCGCAAGTATGCTTCTCCTTCGCGCTGCTTGTTCTCGGCTTCACCAACGTCGTCGGAGGGGACGAGGAAGGAGAAGGCGAAGATGACTTCGAAGACGACTTCGACCCGTTCGACAAATTCGTTCGTCGCAGCCTGACCTACATGGCGTGTGAGGTTGTGGTCTACACTATTTTCCTCCTCCTGATAGAGAGGTGCGTTATTTATGTGCCCTTGCGATTAAAACGGGTTGGAGTGGTGTTGCATCATTGGCCGGGGGACATTTTTTGCGCTTGTACCCGGAGGGCACGACCACCTCGGTCTGTCGATCAGAATCTTACGGCTAGAGACGGTATCACTGAAGAGAAGGAGAGATGGAGAGTAAGGCAGCCCGCTTCCCGTTTGCTGGAAAGACCGCGGTAGTTTGAATGTAGCCTTCTCCCCTCCCGCCTCCCCTCCCTCCCACCTTTGACCATATTCTTGGGTTGTGTCGCCTGTACGCGATTCTTCGCGTTCCCCCCCGGTCGGACAGATATTCGGCGGGCGGTTCGTGCTTGTCGAGCTTGTGCGGCAAAGCCGCCGTGGGCGCAAGTACCCTCCTCAGCTCCGTGAGCCCCCAACAGCTAGGGGAAGGGGACGTGCTCGATGAGGACGTGGCGAGAGAGACCGAGAGGGTACGACAAGGAGGCGGGGATGGAGATGCCGTCAAGGTGATTCCGTAAATACTCAACAAGATTACCCATCCCCGCATGATCGATGTTGGTCCTACAAAGCTGTAGGAATCAGCCATGCATGTGCCAGGCTCGGTTCCCTGCCCGAACAGCCTGACCTTCCTCCTTATAAGTAGCTCCACTTCCACTTCCTCGCAAGCACGGAGTTGTTGGTCGCGGAGGAATGTCCAGCCCATTACACCCGAAACCGGGCAGAAGAGTCACGCACAAGTACAGATATCTTGTTGTGCGGCCGTGATTAGTGTCTCCCGATCTGAAGCTGTCTCGACGATTCAGCGATGCCAGCGTTGGAGCTTCCTCTCCCCGTGGTGTTTTGATCGTACCCCTGTTGGTCCTGTACGTGTGCCATCCTTGGCTTGGCCTATAGATTGAAGGGGTCACCAAGGTATACCCGACACATGCCGGAGCAAAGGTTGCGGTGAAGAGCACGTCGCTGGGGATTCCGAAGGGGCAGTGCTTCGGACTGCTCGGGATCAACGGGGCCGGGAAGTCGAGCCTGTTATCCATCTTGTCAGGTGAGGCCTGAAGATTCCCTCGTTGCGGATAAATCGGTGCCTGTGAACGCAAAGCAAGTGCCAAGCGGCCCATGACTCCATCCATTTGTTGCGTACGATACCGTACTATTTAGTACAAGTTCGATTACATGTGCGCACCGGACGGGATCAGAAGCAAGCAGAGGGTTCACACCCATGGGTGTTGTTGCAGCCGCACACAATGATTCTGACAGTCCCGACGGAATAGTGTTCTGCGGCTGCCGTAGCCATCGCTGCACACTAACCCATCGTCCGGGTACAAGGAGAGACATATTGGACGGTAGGTGTGCATGTGGGCAACGGCCATGACAATCGTTCCAGCAAAAGAGCTCAGGCGGCATTCTTGATAGCAACCTGTCATTTTCCTCGACTATTACACCAACAAACGCGCTACACAGGGGGGATTCCAGCCACGGCCGGTGCGGCGTCGCTTGGGGGACACGACGTCGGTAAAGAGCCCGAAGCCATCCACCGCCTTATGGGCTATTGCCCCCAGTTCGACGCTCTTTTCGAGACCTTGACCGGCCGGGAACACCTCAGGCTGTATGCTGCCATCAAGGTGCGGTTTGGAATCGTGTCTTGTGCCTTTTGCCAAACATAAGCATCAACCCCTCCCGCCAGGGAGTCATTGTCTGTTTAGCTGTTTAGAAACGAAAGTCAAGCGACTTTTGGACACATCCATGCACATCCATGCTCTGTTTTTATCACCTGTGACACACAACCATGCGGTATGCCATGCTGTTTCACGATGCAGGGAATACCGGCCGCGGAGGTGGAAGAGGCCGCCAGCACGATGATCACGGATCTGGGCCTTGGGCAGTACGCCGATAAGTTGGCAGGCTCTTACAGCGGGGGAAACAAGCGCAAGCTATCGGTGGCTGTCGCCATGATCGGCGATCCGCAGATTGTATTCTTGGTGAGAATCCGATCGCCAGTACAATACTGTAAAGCGGTGCCGATGCCACCGGCTGGTATACGGTATGTTTATATCCTCTCGCCCACTGCTCCGCCATGGGTATGTTTGGCTACTGGCGAGAACCCCACACGCAAGGGCTGCGATGATGGCGGCTGTGGCAGCAGCGTAGCTTCTCTTTCGAACAGCAGTGCCATCTGGCGTGTTCATCGTTTGTCGTGCTTGGATGCAGCAGTGTCTCCCCTTTGTGTCTCCTCGCTTCGTTGCGTTCGCTCGTGAGCCAGGCCAGCGGGATGGTAATACGGGCATGTGTGGCCTCGGTGAAACGAGCGTAATGTGCATGTCTTTCACCTGTACACCTTGAGACTTGCTTGTTTTCCTCGTTTTCTCTGCCGTACCGAACACCATACCCTGACGACAACCTGCAGGACGAGCCATCGACGGGTATGGATCCGATGGCCCGGCGGATGATGTGGAACTACATCATGCGCATCGTTACTCAGAATCGATCGTGCGCCATGATCTTGACGACGCACAGGTGCGTACGTGCAGTGTTCTTCTTGAGCTCGCCGTCACTGCTACACGCAGTTGAGCTATTCCTGTTGGTACTTACGATGTAAGCTCGTCTTTACAAATGATGGCCACCAAACCAGTAGCCGCAAAAGTGTCGTGAAGGCTTGCACAATGTTCACTTGAACTGTACGTGATTTTCCATTCGGCGCCGATGTCTCGCAGCATGGAGGAATGCGAGGCGCTTTGTCAGCGCATCGGCATCATGGTCGGCGGGCGCATGAGGTGCCTCGGTAGCTCGCAGCACCTCAAGACGCGCTTCGGGAAAGGGTTCCAGCTCGAGGCCAGGGTCGGAGCCGTCTCCCCGACGGTAAGCCAGTCTCGGGCAGCGACGACCGCACGAAAGGCGTTAAGCGACTGTTGGACTAGGCGTTATCGCAGGAAGCGCGTCGTGGTTCCCTTTTGTCTGCCCCCAGGAACACAGATTGCTTGGTCTGGGGCTGACGCCATCGCTTGAAGTAGTTTGGTATCCAGTCGAAACAGTATTGCCGTCACCCATTCTTCCACAATAACCCCGTCCTTTCATTATGCCTCGAAAAACCACAGGACATCGACGCCATGCTCGCTACCATTGCCCCTGCCACCGGCGGACAAGCGTCCCTCCCCAGCGAGCTTTGCGGTCCCGCTCTGGACGCCGCGCAATGCCCCGAATTCGCACCAGAAATTACCGCAGAGGGAAGAGGGGCCATGGTGTACCACGCCCTCGCCAACGAGCGGACTGTCTTGGCGCGGGACTTCGCCGCGTGGCTTTGCCTAGAGCAGAGTTGCTCTCGGGTGAGAGGCCTTTTTCAGTTTGTTTCGTGTAGGACATGCAGCAGGACCAGGCTCCTACCCATGCCACACTGCGATACTCTCAAATATATTCGTTCTGCATCGGGATAGCAATCTGCTCCGCTGACACTGGCTGCGTTGTTTGTTTGACATTGAGCATATATATACGGTTGCAGATGTGACCACCTGTATAGCGTCTGCCCTATTGTAGTGTGGTCGACGTCATACGACGCAATTAATGTTGGGGGGAGGACAACTCGATAGTTTCAGGCTTGAGCATTGAATTGTCCATGTATCCACCGAAACACGGAAATGGGTAGTGCATTTTTTCGAAATCCACCCTTCTTTTCCGATGCTGGTCGCCGTCGTTGGAATGTTGACCAGGTGATCGCGTTTGTGGAGAGCAGCTTCAAGGGGGCTCGTTTGCGCGAAAAGCAGAATGCTAAGATGCGTTTCGAAATACCGCAGCAAGAGGATAAGACGCTGGGGGCAATGTTCGGGTTCATCGAGGTAAGCAGAGGCCCCTCTGTACGTGTGCTGCAATACAATACGACACCCTTGCTCCCGGAGTGAAGGAGCCACTGTCCACTTTTAAACTTTAACCTCTGCATGATTTCAACGGGCGGTACTGAAAAGAGAGGGAAGCACAGTTTGATCACCGCAAGAGGGCGAAAGCTCGAGGTCATGGATACAGCGTACCCTAACGCTCTTGGCACGATTATGTAGAATCACACACCGGTGTTGGCTGCCCGCGATGATGTTCCGTCCTACGCCAACGATTGGGATGTTGTTGTGGTGTCGCCGACGCGCACCTTTACAAATCTGGCCTGCAAACGCTCAACCGTACCCAACTTCTCCGGCATGCGGGTGCCTTTTCTTCTCCCCCTTGCCCGCGGGGTGCTGTGCTACCACAGGACAGCGCCGCCGAGCTTGGCGTCGGAGAGTACTCGCTCAGCCAGATTTCGCTTGAGCAAATCTTCAATGGATTCGCCTCTCAACAACAAGAGGAACAAGGGAGGGCAGCTGGCATCGTGTGACGGGTTTAGCTTTGCGACACGCAACTATTGTAGCGCTGGAACCACAATATGCTTGTGTAGCCTAGACGTTGCACAGAAGCGGTTGGTCCTAGGCCAGACTGATGATATGGTGCCGTTGAGAATGTCAAAAGCAAGGTGTCTATTTGTACACATATATGAAAACGTATTGTGCGTAAAGTCGGTTAAATATGCTGGTCAACGTATGTGCTTCAACGGACCGTTGGTGTTGAGCCGGTGGAAACCATTTTGGGTGAGGCACAACACTCTGTTTTCGCGGAGGGTATACATGTAGATCCCCGTAGTTCCAGAAAATACATTGTTGGTACACGTTAAGTAGGATTGTGGAAGTACAATTATGATCGTCTGCTGTAGACCATAGATAGATTCGACTGACACGTGGAGATATTGTAGGTTGGTGGTCTCCGTTGCCTCAGCGCTGATATGACATTCGATGCAGCACTGCTCGCGAAGAGGCTCTCGTCCCCTGTGTCGGTCTTGGTGACTGACTTCCAGATTGTTCGTGTACAAACGTGCGTTTGCTGCGTGTTATAGAGTGCGATTGATTCCGTTGTAAGGTGCGTCTTGGACGATGAGAATTGGTTTTGGCCTTTTGTTTCTTCCTGCTTGGAGTTTGCTCTTCTTGGCTGCGTTCTTTCCCGTTCTTTCGCCTGTTGTCTTGTCAATGTGGCACCCAGCCCTGTCTCATCGGCACTGGATGGAGGGGAAGCGGCAAGACAGTTGACAATGCGTCGAGCCGTAAGCTTCTTCTACTGAATGAAGTAGATAGATGTTGGTGCAACCAACAATGGCGGGTTGTGTTACCACGTTTGGTTTTGACCCAACCAAGTCGATTGCTCTATCTGTGTCTAAAATGTCCTTCAAAGTCGAAAAATACATCCATTTTCTGGCCACTTTCGTGTTCCGGCGCGGACTTCCTCGAGACTACAGTATACACCCCACATGTATCTTTCACCGTGCGATGCACATCAGGACGTGAGCTACAGTGGCAGCCCGCTCAACAGGAAACTCCTCTACATAGATATACCTTTTTTAGCGAGATTCGAACGTTTTTTTTGCCCCCCAACCACTGAGCGCATGCATGCTCTACTTCCGGAATTTTGTGGAAAGCAGTAGCGCGGGCCGCAATGATCAATTTTCTTTATTTGTCCAACACTGCTGTAGTCTTAATATCTGTGCCTCGGTTTCTGACGAACATACCATATTTCTTACTGGTGCGAACGCGCTGACACTCTGTTGTTTTTACCCATTCGCTGGTCCCCATTCTCTACAAGTGAACTCCATTCTATCAGTCAATGAAAAGGCGCTTGTTGCTTTGTTGCTTTTGTTTTGTAGGCTGCATCATGCATCCTTTCCAAAAAGGCAGGGCGGTACAAGCGCGCAGGCATTATGCGATAACTACTACCCGGAGTATTCTAATTCCGTTGGAATCTACTATCCCACCCATCTATCTTTGCTGCCTACACATACATACGTACGTAGTCCACCCATTGTGTGAACTGCTGAGGCCAAGCCTGTAAACTGGCCCCAGAATAGATGGGACGAACACATCCAACCCACACACTGGTGCTACGTACGGTATCAGAGAGTAGTTCAGAACCCTGGAGCTTGCGTAGCAAGGAATTTTTAAGAATAACGCAGCGTGCGGCACGTGCCCACGCCGCGCATCATCATGAAGGTCAGATTTTGGTGGGAAATCCCGGCTTTGCCACAACGCCAGAAAAGATGGTCCGCAAAAAGAAAAAAACGGTCATCTTCGCCTTAGAGGATGCCTGGGTGAGAGATGAGAGGAGAGAAACGGAAGAGAGGCAGGGTCTGGTTGGGCTCACTGTCATATGCATGCTATGCATGCCAAGATATATATGCATTTAGTAATATTGCAGATGGGGAGCTGTTTGATCTGTTCCCCTTTGTTGGCATTGGCATGACTGCTGCTGTCGTGCGTAGAAGAATATCCTTTCGTGATTTTCTAAAAAATATGGATTCTCTCTGGAAATACAAGTTTCAATCTGGAAGATGCCATCAACCGAATTCGATTCGATCAGTTCGATGCTCGATTTCTGACAGTCCCGTGTATGAAGCGAGCAGCGAGCGGCATCGGCCCATAGACGAATGTGCCGTCGCGCGGAGTATAGAGGCGAAGAGGAGAGTGACTTGTAAGGTGGCACACTTGATGGGATGGAGTTAACGTGCTGTTGTCTGGATATGCGAGGAAACAGCTGTGCGAGGGGACTACTTTAGGTGTTGTGCTGCAGGCGAGGCAACCTGTTCGTTGGGAGAGCACATCGCTGAACGAGGTAAGAGCGTCAGTCTGCCACTGAAACACACAAAGCCATTGTAGCATCTGCAAGTCTCCTGTTCAGCACAGGACGCACGACTGCTGCTCTCCGAACTTGGGCAATTATCTCAACGTGAAGAGTCTTCCAAACATGTCATTTCGTGGGCGCATCGGCTACGCAGAACTACAACTGCTTCCGAGAAAATTCAAGATGTAGGTTTACATGGCAATTGCACTCACTCGCCGATATGGGCACCCCGACAGTACGTTCTTCATGTTATAGGTAACGAGCAGCAGACATGCTGTCGGCACTCAAACCGCAACACGCGGGCAAAGCATCCCCGTCGCCAGGCGTTGCGTGGTCTCTATGTACCAAATACGCCGCCTTTGAAGAATCCGAAGCACTACGTAACTTGCTGTAGAGAGAGATTCGGAGTCCCGGTCGGGATACCCCTAACGGCAGAACGGTCAGCGTGTACTTTTTACCACGGCTGCCACTGGTTACTCGCAGTCCGTATGTAGCGTACGTTTTACCAAATTCTCACTTCACGCCGCCATTATGGCGTTGACTCCTGAAACGGTAACGTTGCTAGCATACAGCAATAGTAAACCACTGCTGTGTGTGTGTATCGTCCTATTCATTATGGCGACAGTCGCCGCCCACGTTTTTTTGTTCGTGGTGCTGCACTTTTTCAGTGTAGTCTATATTTGTACATAATATTTTAGTAGAGATAGATGTCGGTATGATTGTATTTTTTCGTAAAACTACAAGCATCCAGATTCACACAAGACAGGCGGTAAAGATCGGCACTTTACTTCTTTTTCTATCATTTTCGTGCCTCGCCTTCCGCCTGCGGTGCGTGCTGATTTTTTTAATTTTTTTTCGGGTCCAGCCTACAAGTACGATGTTAGCACACTGTGTGCTGCACGTTTTTTGCTACATACTGGTATTACGACGCTTCATTTTGTTTTACTGTTTTTCAGCACCTCTGGCAAGAATTGAAATTTTTTGGTACCACATTCGGCAGTGGACTAGACTGGGAATGATGGGAAATTGGGAAAGTTAAGAAACAAGAGTTCAAATTTGATATATAGTCTACATAACTAATTTCTTTGTTGGGTTTTTATAGGACAAAAGTCGAAGATGAAACTTTTCAAATGATTTTTTTGAAGGCCCAGCATTACTGTGACAATGTTGTAAATCTGACTGCTGTACAGTTGTTCCCGCTTCAAGGCTACGCAAGGCTTCTCACCGTTCCTGGGTCTCCGGGGCTCCGAGATGGTGTGTTTTCCCCCAATCATAAACAAGTACTGTTTTTTTCTCGCAGGTCACATTGCTAGATAAAAAGTCCAGGGTGGTATCCCCGCCGACTGCTGCATCTGACTCGAAATAAGCTCAGTACTGTACCCAGCCGGTTTCGTCCACTCGCTGCAAATACTCCAACACATCCCCTTCAACTGTGGTTACATCTCGAACGGGTAGTGTTTTGGGAAATAGACAAAGGTGGGTGTACCCACCCATTTCTCAGACAGAAGAGTGGGTACTCGAAAAATTGCTTTGCGGAGACCGCTTGTGACCGGGCACAACCACTCGAATGTCAATCCGATGTATGGAAAGCGTGGGCAGCGCCGCCCATGCACGGCGCGAACATGAACCTTATTTTACTTTCGGGCACGTGTTCACCCTGCACACAGTCGCGGCGCACAAGGCCTCAACAGGTTGCCTGATTTTGTCCGAAATTCCGGTGGGTATCCCCCCCGGAATCTACTTGTTCATGTTCCCATCTTTGTCTGCTTTGTGACCCACTTTTGACCGAAATGTACCCACCTTTGTCCGAAATGTGTAGCCACTTTTGTCAGATTTTTCATTCGAAAATCGACCTCCACGTCACCGCACGGGGGAAATTTTTGAATGAAAACATCGGACAAAGGTGGCTACATTTCGGACAAAAGTAGGTCACAAAGCAGATATAGATGGGTACATGAAACAATATTAGTAGATTCCGGTGAGTATACCCACCGGAATTTCGGAAACAATCGGGCAACCTGTTGAGGCCTTGTGCGCCGCGGTTGTGTTGCGAGTACCTACTTTTATCTGAGAAAGAAAGGGGTGGGTATGCCCACCTTTGTCTAGTTCCCTTCTGTGTTTGTATTTATTTTCCTAATAATCTCGTTTGTCCCCTCTGGCGCCTAGCCCTAGGAGACACACACCTCTACATCCCTTTGGAGATATCACACCACCTTGAGCAACCCCGTCGATCAAAATTGTGCCGCATATACGGTCCGTGCACAACAATTTGTGCATTCACGTTTTGTGCGATAACTTTTCTTGAAAAATAATTGGAACATGAACAACGATGGTCGTGACCGCCTCGTCGAGATACGTCGATAGCTGCAGAGTTTTTTTGTTCTGACGATATGCAACAATTTTGACAAAATCATACACGGAACCCCCTAAACACGACATACATCCCCTGCATTCACGGAACCCCCGACCGTACCCCCGAAGCCCCCCCTCACCCTCTATAATAGTACCTGCTTTATATCGTACATTTCGGACACCATATGCTAGCATTTGTACAGATACCACGCAGACGCATGATCGACAACACCGTTGGACGTTAAAAGGAACAAAATATGAACATTGACGGGTCTATACATGTACATAAACCTGTACAAACACTCGGGGGCAGTCAATCGTAAGGGAGTGAGTGCTGAAAAGAAGTACAAGGCCAACATGAAAGAAACGGAAACATGCACAAGGCGCACAACAATCCTGCAAAGCTACCACGAACTTAAAAAACACACCCATCACGTCGCAGCGTTCTCGGCCACGTCCATCAAAAATGCGCCGTCGTGGCCATCCGAGAGCGGGTCATCAGCGCCGGGAGATGGAAGATCATAAGATCATGTTGCAATGCCGGCTTCGGCTTCTTCGAAATCGCCCGACCATCGGCTCCGCGGCTGCCGAACTTCCTCTTCTTAGCCCGTCCCCTAGGCTTCCCCATGGTGCTTGCGTGCGTGTTTCGTGTTTTGGGCCGCAACGTGTGTGTGTTGTGTGCGCGTGCGTGTTGCCCCGTCTGAAAAAAAATCTCTCATGGGGGCGGCACAACAAAATGTGGAATATCTCGGAAACCAGATTTTTCCCAACAAAACCCAGCAATACCGACCTAGATATGAGGAGAGGAAACGATTGCCGCTGTTTATTTTGAAATCGGTCGGTTAGTTATCACCCAAAAAAGAATTCAACCTGATGCTCTACAGTTGATTTTTGAGCGATATCTCTGTCAAGTCACAAAATTTCGAAAAAAAAACAAACGACCTGGCAAATTACGAGACGCGTTCAAATCCGTAGAGTTTTTGTAAATCGGCAAAGAACACACCCCTGGAAAAAGAATTCAAGTTTTCCCGGTTTTGTGCCGATTAAAAGTAAAAAAAGAAAAGAAAAAGAAAAAACTTTCCGTCACTCCATGCGTCTGGAAACAGGGCGTTTGCCGGTACTTTCAGATGTCGGAACAACGACCTGCGTGCAGAGAAAAGTTGTCATTTGTGCCGCGATTTTTTTGGATTTTCTGTTGCGCACGGACTATATATCAGTTTAGGCCTTGTACCGCGAGATCGAGGTGCTTGCAGTTTTGCGATTTGAGCACAATCTTAATTGCCGCCAAGATTTTTGGTGAACCAGCGCAGCAAAGTGTGCTTCAGTTACACGCAGCTACAGCACGCCACAAGCAACCACACTGGTCGAAACTGCCAGAACCTACCGATAGGTTTGCGCGTGAACTGTATGTATTTGTATGCAGCAGCCCGAGATCAAGCCGAAATGCCGGGTCTTCTGGGTCGTTTGACGCGCCGCCGCCGTTCTCAACGTGTGTTTGCCCGATCAACAATCGGATTGAACGCGAATGTAGCTGGTTCGGTGTATTCTGTTTTCTTCTTTTATTTACCTCTTTTTGCTTTTCGTTCGTACTTGCTAGCGTCTGTGTCGTTGTGCTTCCGGTCGTTTTTTCGTCTCTTCGTGTATTGTCGTTGTGAAATCTACGCCGCGTTGCGGTGTTTCCTGCGTGCCGTTTGGTGGGTAGAGTGCCTACCACTCTTTCTCTATGAGGGTCGGGTTGTGCTTTTCCCTTTAGACACTCTTTCCTCCTGCTGCCGTGTACGTCTTGTGGCGGGACATCCTTGTGGCGGGACAACCCTTTTTCCCTCACTTTAAACAGGACATCTGCCCCCGCTTTCGAAAATACTCCTACCGTAGGCGACCCATAACACAATTTTTTATTTTTCCGATTGACCTTCTGCGTTTTTGTTGGGTGCTGCCGGTCACAGCGCCACATCCATCCGGTTGCTCCCTACAGAACAGCACCACCAACCTTACACATTGTAGCAATTGATCCGTTATGTCCGCGGCAGGACGTCGTTCTGTACACTAGATACCGCGGGGTTTCGGCCTTCGGTCTCAATTTCTTCGAAAGATTGACTTGCTGTTGCAACCCGTCTCGCGAAAAAAGGATAATTGCCACGTCCGAAATGCCTAAAATACGGTGATGTCAACCATTCACTGCGTAGACGGCAACTATTGGCTGCGTGGCTCTCATGCGGGCACTTGACTTTCGTTTGTATTGCATGGCGCTGAAGGGCCCTGGTTGGGGCGCGGTCTTTTGTTTACCTACACCGTTTTTTTTGTGCAGCACCATGTGTGCGTGCGCTTGCGCTACGATATCATGTCGTCGGCACTGAAATTGAAACCGCGTGATTGGACAGTTACATCTTCCCCGCATTATGTCCGCATGTACTTCAACTCCTTGCGGACATTCCCCCGTCCTGCGACGGGAGTCTGGCCGCTGGGCAAATGGAAATACGAACAGGGCAGCGCCCTCTCGCTCGAAACACCCTATACATGTACCTTGCCGTGAACAAACTAAGACAAATACAAAAGGGCTCCCGTATGACACCGGTGATGGATGTGGTGTGTGTGTGTTTTTTTTGTTGTGTCCATTCTGACTCGAGTCTTCACCTTTGAGCCAACAGCGGGGTCACAGAGGAGGATCACGGTACCGCAGGGACATGGGCTTTCTTTCTTTCTGTTCGTTTCCCCTCCCCCCTTCTGTGTGCTTTCCTTCGAGACAAGGGTTCAGCATTCCATTCCCTCCCAATGCGTATTCACAGACACACCCTCCCGAATTGGGCTACTCGTTGTCCACCGCAGAAATAATTTGGAATTGTAGCTGCTTCTCCATCCTGAGAGAGATTCGAACCCCTAATAACCTGGTACCATTACAAGATTTTACGAGGTTTCCCACTAGACCACCGGGGTGACCGGTGCATGAAACATAGACTGCGGCAAGAATAGATGAAATGACAACACACCCACACCGCTACGGACGAAATCCGGACCACCAGTCTTCCTGTCGTCAAGACTATGGAATATACTCCCAAAAATAGCGAAGGCACGATACCGCAGAGTGGAATTGGTGCAACGAGCCATCTCTTTCTCTTCGCGAGTTTGGTAGTGCCCCACGATCATCACCGGTGACCACACGGTAGGAGACCGCCGTCGAAACTGAGGGGTTTGCGCTTAATAAATTTCCCGGCGGTCTTGCGCCGTGTATTTCGTACTGTCCATCGCCAACCAGGGCAAACTTGCTGACGCGTGCCTAGCCCCCGAGAACACTTTTCAATCTCGCCGCTTGTCCTTCTCAAGTTGTCTCCGAAATCTCCGATAATCGAAAACTGCGGTTCGTAGTGTAAGGTACGCAGGGGGAATGGGGCACGTGCTGCGAGAGAAGAAAATTCCCAGCGTTCGTACCGTTGGAATATGAAGGAATTTCGAACAGGAAACTCGATTTGGCAGTTACACGGCATTGTCCGCCTGCTCCTATTCACAACATTAGACATCCAATTCGACTCGGGCTCAAAACGTTTTGCCATATCAAGATGAGGCGTTTTCTGCTGTCGTTTCTTTGTTTGCCGACAATTACAATTCGTAGTGCTGCATTTTCTTGTTACCTCCTCTCTCTCTCTCTTTTCAGCCAGTTTCCCCCCGTAGTTTCTTGTTCCAACTTCCTCAACACACAAGCAACAAACTTAGATAGTCGAGGCGGGACCTCGCTGGCAACTTCCTTGGACACCCTTTGCTGGAATTTGTGATTCACTAACCGAGCCATGGCCCTACAATCATTCGAGTTCCACCGGTTCCATTGAAGACGTTATTGAAGTTTGTCGGACTGTACAATGGAAGAAGTGGGCCAGCTGCAAGATGGTACTTCGTGGAAGTGATCTGCCACCATGATGGCTGTCTACTACCCGAACGCGCCTCAACCACCTACTGCAGTACAAGGATATTATTAGAGAGAAAAATCGCGACCCCCATGATAGAGAGGGAAAGCGAGCGACGAGGTCATAAAGCAGACAAACTCTGCAGTCCACGGTAGGTTCCAACGGTTCCCTCCTGTCATCCGCGTCCCGTCAGGTCAGCAGGCCGACGTTTTGAACGGTGAGCATAATACAGCGAATCCTGACACACCAGCAAGCTTCATGTCGTCGAGGTTGAGACTGTCGGCATGGTTCACCGCAACGGTGTTGGTTATTGGGTCAATGCTTCTCGTCGAGTACGTCGCACTTCTCGGAGCCGGTACGGGTAGTTCGACACACCCTTGGCCAACGACGCAGCCACTACCCGAGGCTGCAGCGGCACCACTCTCACTGCGTCTTTTACGGGATTCTTTCTCGAATGACGGCGACGAGAGGACCGGGGAGGACGAGGGCGAGAGGGAGGTGGGGGAGAGTCAGACGGTGGCGAACAGCTCCAGGAGGCTTGCAATCGTTGTCCCGATACAGGTGGCCGACCTCCGGAAGGCCCAAGCTTCCCTGGCTGCATGGCCCACTCGATGCCATAGCTCCACGCTTGTGAACACCGATCTGGTTGCATACTATGCCGGAGGGGACGACGAACACGTCGCTGCGATGCTGGCGACGATCGAGCAGACCGGGGGGCGATGCTTTGCTCGTACACGGCTCGTGCTTGCACATGCTAGTGACAAGGTGGGTGACTGCCCCATGGGTTGCGAGTGATGCTCTACCTCCTCTGCTCCTATGTGCTGTACTGATCTAGACTTAGGAACAGCCAAGTTGTGATAAACTACGCGATGGGCACCTCATTTAGACAGCCAAGATGGGTTTCCCCCTCATGCACGTGCCACACCCACCCACGAGTTTTGAATGATGGGTACATGCAGTAATCGGTGAAGGTTTCATCCCACAGCTGCAGTCTTCGTAAAATGTGCCGCTCTGGCGTCAGAGGCATGCAAATGAACGTGCGCGTGAGGAAGGCGTGCTGCGTTTGAGATGTTGACTTTGCCGCCCAGAAGTGCTCACTCGCCGAGGGTTTGGCGATGTATCCCGCACGACTTGCTGTCGTTCTATAGTGCGCCAGGTAGGACAAAGAGGCGAAACCCGAGCAGCGGGGTGATGAATGGCTTAGTTGCCTATATGCGATGCTGTAGGCTAGGGATGACGGTGTCGCACCCCTCATTGAATGCAATATCTCAACCACGGCACGTGACAGGAGGTGCTGTTTTTGATCCGGTACTCTCCGTGGCGTCTTCACACCTATCGGCTTGGCCCCTCTAGTCCCAAGCGTAGCTGCCGCATTGCAATGGACTGCAGCAAGAGCTGTCTCGAAAGCGCCACCTGCATGCTAGCGCCGACGAGCGTCCGATCGTTCCGTCCATACCTCACGGAGGCTTTCTGAAAATGCGTTTGGCACGTCACACAGTGTTAATATTTAGTTGGCTGACGAATGTGGTGTGTAGCGCACACTTTCCCCTTCTCTATAGATTTGAAAACAAACATTGTTCATTCGTCCACCTGCTCTCATACCTCCAAACGCCGCAAGTGGAGTGCTCTCCCATGACTCAGGGGCTGACACTGCGTTCGTCCGCTTGCGTGCCGGTAGGCACATATGTGATGCCCCTATGGCGCTTAGTCTACACCGCATTTTTCCTTACCTGATTCACTCGTTTAATGTTGCTATGACGTATGTATTGCGTTGGGGCGGTCAGGACAATGAACGGCCTGAGATTGCGTCAATCCAGTTCTACAAGCTCTACCTGGATTCCACCATCCGACGCCAATTTGCTGACTATGACGCCTTCGCGGTGATGGAATGGAACGTGATCGTGGCACACGACAGGAGGTGCGTGGGGTTTCCTGTGAACCCGGCCGTATTCATACATCTGTTCTGTGTGTGGTGCAGTGGGCTGGTCATTTGCCGTTGCATGCTGAACGTATGGCTTGGTTGTTTGGCTTGGAGTCCGAGTCGTTTAGCATAGACACAGTGCGACGTATACTTGTTTGACCATGATGTCGTCCTCAGCTCCAGTCTGTCCGAAGACACTTCTGACCAAAAGAACGAGATGATGATTTTGACTAGTGCTCGAGCTTGATTAAAGCTTGCTTTGTTGTTGGCCTGTGCCTGATCTGAAATGTTCGATTGGTCCGTTCCAATGTCACTTTGCTCACACGCCGACATGACTCCACATACAGGCCGCATATATCACGACACCCGGCAGCACGGGCGTTCGTCGACACAAGTCCTCTCGTGTATGCTTTAAAGCGACTTCTCACACTTGTTTAGCGGCCGACCAAAACATCTTAAACAAGGGTTTATGAAAGTATGCTTTTTGTACATTTTATTGGTGTGGGTAGGGGTGGCAATGAACCAGGGTCGTTTCCTGCATGCCGGACACGCGATTCACCACCATCATCACCGAACAACTGTTTGGCCAGCGAGTGTGCGACAGTGGGCCGCCGCTGATGCTTGGATGGCAGCTATGCGTAAGCAATCAGCATAAGTATTGAACGCGTGCAATTCAAACAGGACTCACTCTGTCGCCACGGCATATTGAAGCTCCTTCAGGCCCACAGCGTACCGCCCACAGCACACTGCCGTGTGTCACGATCTGGTTTCCCTGATTCTGGCCCCTCCACCAGGTGGATGGTCACTCTAAAAACCTAACCCTAACCCTAACCCAAAGCCTTCACAACATCGACTCCAGTAAGCACGTATTCCCAGGATATTGCTAGTTTCTGTTCAACTTCGAGCACCATCGTGGAAGCAGGCAGTTGGCTGTTCACAACTCGACATGCGACAAACTCTAACAACAAGCAGCCATCGCTCCGGGCTTCTACGTGCTGATGCCGTTTGTATTCAGCTTTGAAGAGCTCTACACGGCAGCGTTCGGGGGAGTAGAGCCATTCTGGGTCAAGGGCAGCGCTTTGGTCAGTGGCAGTTCCCACGAAACCGTGGTACGTCCAGAGAACCGGACCACGGTCGGTCACATCAACGGGAACGCCATCTACAACAACACTGACCAGACCTTCGTGGATTACGTCAACTTCACGGCCACCCGCTGGGAGTACACCCTGCCGTACGACGAGGCTTTGTGGGCCACTATCTCAGACTTTCCGTACAGCTGGCCTTTGTGGCAGCGTTTCTCGAGAAAGTTCGTGACGACTAACTTGGTGAGCAGAGCCATGCATCTAACACGCCGCATTATCCATCGAGAGAATCGATTTTCAGATGTATCTTCTGTGGGTTCGTCAGAATGCATTAGTGTTGCACACGATTTCTTGTAGGAGGAGCATGCGTCCGGGCAAAAGGCTGCAGCTTCAGGTTCTGCTGGCAGCATGTGCGGCCTCGGGTCTTGCACGTTTTGCCAAATTGGTGCTAAGGCGAAGTCAGGGGGCAATTCCTCCTTTTTAGCGAACGAATAGTTTCACGTATTAACCTTCCACCTTGCCCTACTCACCGTGTTCGCCCGCGCATACGTCGCAGATAGCCAACGTGGGTGTTCACGACGTAGATGACCGGGAGGTGTTGGACGCTGTGGCAGGCGGCACACTGTTTATCCACGGCACCCCCACCGACGGGGGTGTTTCCATGGCTGGCAGCAATGAGCTGGCAGAGAGGTGCACCGTTTCCTGCGGCTTCCGGTTCCCCAACGCACATGCGGCGATGGCGCCCTCCGGGACTGCCACAGTCTGCGACCGGTCGTGCTACGCTGGCGGCAGGGACGGGGCACGTTTCGGTGGCCACTTGTGCGGGGCAGGGGACGTCGCAATTTATGGTGCGCACTGTCGGACTTGCTTTACCGACTTGGGGGAGGCGGAAGCGGCAGAGGATACCCTAGCCCTCCAGGAAAGGCTTGTTTTGGAGAGGAAGGGTGCCACGAGAACAGGAAATGTTGCACTTGAAGAGAGCTGGAGAAGTGATGAGGCGGCGTGGACTTACGGACGCGGGGGTGAGGGTTGGCCACAACAGGAGGTGGGGGAGCAGCATGTGGAGGGGGGGGGGGGGGGGGGGGTGGG